TGAAGGTGAAAAATTTGAGGAAGAGGATGGAGAAATTCAACGAAGCTGTAAATGGACTCAAAGAGGGAAAACAGGAAATGAGCAAACAGGTCGAGGAACTGGCCGCCTCCACCGACGCCCTCATGGCCAAGATCAAGGTGAGCTTTTCCACTGGAAAACCGCCCAAGGTTGACAAACCCCCTTTCACCTCCTCCAGCTTACAAAGCACAATGATGTTACGTGGTGTAGCTCTTTTCTTAGTCTGCCGTCGTATATCGGTTTCCATGCATAATTCAACAGGTGTGCGTTTTTCCATGTCCTGATGAAGGCGGTCTAAAGCTGTGGCTAGAATTGTCTGCCAGCTTCAAGTGTCTCTCTTTTTAGGGTCCAAAGAAAGAGAGCAGAAGCTTTTCATCTCATTCAGCAGAAAATCTAGCACTCAACAGCAGAGTAAATAAATACAAAGTATGCAAATCGACAGTCGACAATGAGATTTCTGTCTGCAGATCATCATTGACATTCGCACCACACGCTGTCAAGTCGATTTTCAAGGTTTTGCTGCATTATGCCGTTTCTAGTGTTGATTTCTTGCCTTTGAACTTTCAGCTGCGGCTGATTGAATGCAGTGTATGCATTGTTGTATTCTCTACGTGGAGCCCAACCTCATCTGTCAGACTCGGAGTGCATTATTGACAGGGAGCTCGAGAGACATTGCGCCCTCTCCCTGATAGATAGCTGGCACCAGAGCTGAAACTTTTCTACCTGAACACTCCATTCCTCCCTCTAAATGAGATGCGCTCTGCACTTCTGCACCCGAGATAGCCCTCTTTGTTATTAGCATAGCACGTTTTGATTAGCATCTTGTTTTTGATTGGCAATGCCTCCTATTACCTTACCATCTGGACTGGAGATTACTGTGGCCTCCCTGGCTAATAACGTAGATTGTGTCAATGGCTGTCATTCAACACACTAGTGCTAACTCATCTAGCGTTAGGGGGTGAGACGGACCTTGTCATTGAGTCCCCACCCCTCTGCGGTACAATGATCATTCACAATGCTTGCACCCCTCCACGCACCTCTGGTGCTCTGCCAGATGGCACCAAATCCACATCCAGGTTTAATGAATATCTGCAGGATATTAATACAATTGCGGTGCATGTGGCCCAGCATCACCGCTGTCGCCAAACTAACGAGTAACCACTGAGTTGCTGACACTTTTTTTGAGAAACCTTGTTCAAATTTGTTTAACGAAGCACAAGAGGAAAAGCTTTTTAAAGGAGCCACTGAGTGGCCTGTCCTGTCATCATTTGTCATCATTTGTCTTCCAACCTCTTATTATTATTTTCTTTCTTCCTGGAAAAAACAAAAGGAGATACAGTATTTAGATATAATGTCCAAGCTTCTGTGTTCAATGCAACGAAAGTGGATTGTGATTTATACTGTCAAGCTTTGAAAAGTACTTAAAAGTATCATAAATATACAAATGACAAACACTAAATTGTAAGTCTTCTCATGAAAAATGATGAGAACCAAGATTAAATTGAAGTTGTTATTTACTGAAAATCCTACAGTACCCTCAGTTTGAAAATCTAATTTTCAGTCATGTTAAATACACACTTGGAAATCAGTGGTGTCTGCCATCAGTGATGGCAAACCTGCTCTGACATGTACAAAGGCAGTATTTTTTTTTTGTTGAAAACAAGCTCAGATGACATTTGTGAGAATACGTTTGGTCAATAACGCGATACATTTTGGTTCCTTGCACAAAACTGTTCTATTGTTAGGGAACACACACAATTTTACATGAAGAGACCAATATGTTTCAGTGAAGACCAGGAGTCAAATTTGAAATTCAATCAGTTTGCTGAAGACTCTACTGAAGCACTTCTAAAGGCTGTAGAAAATGAGTAAGAGGATCCAGCCTTTAGAATACAAAAACTAGTACTTAAAGTCATATGGATAAAATAAGAATGAGAACAAAACATCAAACTCTAAAACTCTTGATTCATTTGACTGCATGATGATCAAATTAATTAAATACAAAACAAGTGCCTATTTTATTTTCTGGCATCCGGACTAAATGAATAAACACTGTTATTGCATTCCTGCGATATAAATCCACTTTTATTGTATTGTACCGAAGCTCTCATTTTGTGTTTCACAGAAGAAAAGAAACTCACACAGGTTTGTCTTTCTGTTGAGTTCAACGTACAACACGATCAAGTGTAGTCCGAACAAGTGAGCCTCTTCTTTTCAGTGACCAGTATTGCCTGATTCCTAAAGCAAATGACTCTTATGAACCAGTTCTTTCAATAAACTGCTCAAAAAGACAAGTTACCAGTTTTAATCATGAGTCTGAAACACTGAGAAATGTCTTTTATAAGTAACTAAAGTGGACATTATAACAAAAATGTATCCAAATAAATCAAATCAAATGCAACTCTTTCTTTTCATCTCTACTGTCAGTCTACGGTGATGAGCCGCAAGGAGATCGAGCAGGAGTATGAGGGCCTGGTGAAGCGCTCGGAGCAACTCCTCTCCTCAATGCAGGAGCAGGAGGAGACGGAGAGACTCAAGCGCATCCAGGAGGAGATGGAGAGAGAACGAAAAAGACACGAAGAAGAGGAGCAGTTACGCAAACAGGAGGAAGAAGACCGCCGCATGTGAGTCACGTCGCAAGTTTCGAATAGGATGAACCGTACATTAGGTCAGAGTCCCAGTGCATTTGAAAGAAGAACAGGAGCTAAAAAAAAGGGTATGGGAGGGGATTGGCAGAGAGATTAATACATCACTGGAGGGTTTGGTTTGACCTGCTCTCTCTTATGCATTCTCCAGAGTCTGCTGTCATGGACAGCATCTGTCATCGTTTCACGAATCAGGCCATGATGATATTTCTATGTTTATAGTCTTGTCAAAGAATATTCAGTTCCACACTAGTATACGCAACAACAGCAACTTTTATGCTGCTTGCTTTATGTTTGGTGCAGTCCTTCCAAACCTGAACCCATATGGATTACTAAATTATCTTATATATTTATGAATATGCACATTTAATGACAGTTGTCATTTAAGCAACAGGTCAGAAATTTCAAACCTTCTCAAGAGGTTTTATGTAACGTAAATGCGATTAGGTCACAGCTTTATAAGCAGTTGCTGCTCCATTTATACAAAAAGCGCCATGCAAGCTTTTAATTCTAATGTCATTAACAATGATATTAAATTATATAATAATTATATATAGTATAGTAAATAATATATTAATAATAAATGATATATATACACAGTATACAGTAGTCAACATTTGAAGTGGATCAAAAAAGTTAATCAAAGTTGTCCTAAGACAAGAATGCATTTTGGTTTTAGGTTTTAAGACAACTTTGATGAAAGGTTTTGACCCACTTCAAATGTTGACTACTGTAGTACAGAATATAGTATATAATAAGAACACCCTGAATGTGTTCATGATGAGATGGAGAAGATTTTTTAGCATGGCCCAATTTTACTCATTGAGAGATACTGCTTTTACTACTCTTTTACCTCATAGATTTATTGGAGCCAACATTAGCTGTATAACTCCAGTCGACGTAAATTAACAACATTGCCCTTAAGTTATTTGCACTCTCTCTATATAGAACTTTTTAAGAATGCTGTCTGCCGTGCCATTATAAATTGAACCTGCCCCTTATAAAATATATTGTAATGTTCTTTGTTTCCTGGCCAGATAGCAATACAAGGTTTTAAAGCTAACTTTTATACAGCATTACACAAACATACCATATACAATTATTTGTTAAGTTTATTTATATACATTACCAATTATGACATTTTGCAAAATAACTTAAAATAGCAAGTTCATTATTTTGATGGCTCTCACTAAATATCAAGGGTTTGATATACAGTGGGGTACAAAACTTTGAAACATTGAAAATCAGGTATTTAACATCCAATTTAGACCTAGAAATGTAGGATTGTGATGTAGGATTTTTAGGATTATGATGGACTGTAAAATTAGTTTAAAAATAGGCATACTGCCATTCAAAAGTTGTTTTTTTTCTTTCTTCTTTTGGAAAGAAATTAATATTTTATTCAACAAAGACACATTAAATTGATCAAAAGTGACAGTAAGGATGTTTATATTTGTTACGTTTATATCTGTTTATATATATATTACAGCTTAACTTGATAATAATAAGAAATGTTCCTTGTGCAGAATTTGCACTAAATTAGCACATAAGAAAGAACATATTAAAATGATTTTTAAAGGATCATGTGACACTGAAGACTAGTAATGGCTGCTGGACAGCTTTGCCATCACAGGAATAAATAAAATTTTGAACCATATATTAACATAAACTATAAGATGACCTTTTGGTTTTGTTCATATCAGCTCAAGTACCACTGTCATTAAATCATAAGAGGGACATACAAAAGGGGGAAAGCTTTTCTCAGACGGTTATGTTAATATAATTTGTAATTAAAAATGTACATTTAAATTAAAAAAGAAAAATAAATTCTCTAATGCTCTGAGACTTTTGGACCCATCGTAATGCAAATCACACTCCTTCATTGTGAGCAGCAAACATCCATCTGAAATTGTATCTTTACTGTACCCCTCCATCACCCTCATGTTTATTTAGTAAAAATCTCCCTATTTTCAAGGTCGAAGATTTGGCAAGGATGCATATAGTGTATCAATAGCCAAATCCACGATCAACAAAGTACAAAGAAAGATGCAGCAGATTTAGTTTGCTGTTTGTTAGATGTATATAAATGCATAGGGCTTTTGATATGAAAATGCTAACATTTGGTAACGACGGCGACGCTCACCAACAATGCTCACAGTGCACTATTCAATTTCGGCTGCTATTGAAGGGACTCATTTGCACTAAAAAAGACTAGATACTGTAAGGGAAACAGGTCAATTTAGCTCAAAGGGAATCATTTAAGAGGTGGGGGAAGTCAATTCCAAAGAGCTCGTGATTGTAGTTACTATCACGTGATGGTCATGCGGTCATCTCTTTGACCATTTAATCTTGATTACTTGCCCTAAAATTGACAATCTCCTTGGAATTGTCAATAAGTGTTCTTTTGTTTAATTGCTGTGAGCTACTCAAAGCTGCTAGTTGGTTCAGGCTTGTGGGGCCAAGATCTGATTTACGAACATCCTGTGTCTTGGGTCTCTGTGGAATTTTGCTCCTCATGTTTCATCCATGTTTTGACCAAATCTTAGATTGTCTGATTCGGTCTGATACCCTACAATACAGTCCAAGTTTCTTTGTGTGACAGTTGTGAATCCACCTGTGGGTGTTTTCACATCCCTTCCTGTGGGTCATTGATGAGGAGGAATAATTCCCCACAGGCTGGAGTAGCTCATTAACGGTCCACCCTCGATCTCTCTCCCATCAGGAAAGCCGAGATGGAGCAGAAGAGAAAACAGGAGGAAGAGGAGAGAAAGAAAAGAGAAGAGGAAGAGCGAGTCATGCAGGTGTGTATGTGTATACGTGCTCCCTCTGTGTATTGATTCCTCTCCTCCGCTGACTCCTTCGGCAAACCAAATGCCCACTCCGTCTCACGCTGGCATGTTCAGAGCTGGCCAGGACTGGCTGTTCAGCAGGCATAATCTGGCCATAAACCACAAAAGCCTGTGGGTTTATTCATCAGCCCCTGCCTGCCTCCTGGGGCTGGATTATGCTGCGTCTGCGGAGTGAAAGTCCTATGTCCCCTCTTTTCTGATGGTGATGCTGTGTTTGGGGGCTTGGCTGACTTCCCTTGCGCTGCTCCCTCTAGATGTATCGTCCTGCAGAGACGCTTTGTGCTCATGCTGCCCGAACACTGTTGCACACTCTTTAAAAGGCTTCTGTGCTGCTTTCTATTCTATTCTATTCTATTCTATTCTAGGGATAAATCTGGTTTAATTCATTTTTGATCTACCATTTTATATTAAAACGTAAAAAAATCTCTATTCTGATTCTTTTCTGTTCTGAGGGTCCTTACAAATTCTATTTTTCTTGTGTGACATTTTCACTGTTCTATTTTTTTAAACACTATTATTTATTAAAACATTCTATTCTATTCTATTCTATTCTATTCTATTGTAGGGATAAATCCGGATCAATCCATTTTCAAGCTACCATTTTATATTGAAACGTTCTGTTTTTTTTTTAATTAAAATTCACTATTTTATTCTGATTCTGTTGTTCTGAGGGTCCTTACAAATTCAGTTTGTCTTCTGTGCCAGTTCTATTTTTTCAACGCTCTATTATTTATTAAAGTATTCTATTCTATTCTATTGTAGGGATAAATCCGGATCAATCCATTTTCAAGCTACCATTTTATATTGAAACGTTCTGTTTTTTTTTAATTAAAATGCACTATTTTATTCTGATTCTGTTGTTCTGAGGGTCCTTACAAATTCAGTTTGTCTTCTGTGCCAGTTCTATTTTTTCAACGCTCTATTATTTATTAAAGTATTCTATTCTATTCTATTGTAGGGATAAATCCGGATCAATCCATTTTCAAGCAACCATTTTATATTGAAACGATGTTGTTTTATTAAAATTCACTATTTTATTCTGAATCTGTTGTTCTGAGGGTCCTTACCAATTCTATTTTTCTTATGTGCCAGTTCTATTTTTTCAACACTATTATTTATTAACGCATTCTATTCTATTCTATTGTAGGGATAAATCTGGTTCAATCCAATTTCAAGCTACCATTTTATATTAAAACATTCTGTTGTTTTATTAAAATTCACTATTTTATTCTGAATCTGTTGTTCTGAGGGTCCTTACCAATTCTATTTTTCTTCTGTGCCAGTTCTATTTTTTCAACACTATTATTTATTAACGCATTCTATTCTATTCTATTCTATTCTATTGCAGGGATAAATCCGGTTCAATCCATTTTCAAGCTACCATTTTATATCAAAACATTCTGTTGTTTTATTAAAATTCACTATTTTATTCTGATTCTGTTGTTCTGAGGGTCCTTACCAATTCAAGTTTTCTTCTGTGCCAGTTCTATTTTTTTCAACACTCTATTATTTATTAACGTATTCCATTCTATTCTATTAAGAGAATTATTTAATTCCTTCTGTGCCATTTTGATAGCACTTTACAATAAGGTTCCATCAGTTAACTACATTTGTTGAGATGAGTTAACAATGAACAATACTTCTGTAGTATTTTATTATATTAGTTCATGTTTCAACATTTACTAATACATTTTTAAAATCAGAAGTTGTATCTGTTAACATATTTAACAATAACAGTAATGAATTCTGAGCTCACATGAATGAACAATTATATTTTATCAACTACAATTAATGAAAAATATTGATTGTTAGTTGATGTTAGATAAAACATTAACTAATGTTAACAAATGAGCCCTTATAAGTCTTTTAAGCCTATTTCCATTAAATGATTTTATTCTATTCTATATTGTGCCAAGTCTTTCTCTCTTTCTTCCTCTATCTTTCTTTCCCATTATATAAAAATGGTCATTGTTTATTCTATCACCTTGCCTTGAAAATACAATTGTTTCTGTTAACTTCAAAAATATCTTGGGAGTCCTTGAGTGAACTGAAGACTTTCGCAAAAGAAAACATTTGCAATTCACTCAAATACTGTTGTCACACTCTTTTATAAAATCTTTATCTGTTATTTTCAGCCATAATACATCACTCTGTTTTCCACCAAGTCTCTCCTGCTTTTAGCAGTTTGATTCATGGCTCAGATTTATCATGACCAGTGTGTGCTGTAACCCTCCCTCTCTATATATGTGTTTGTATATATGGGTATTCAACCTCAGTTGCCTTGCTTTTTCCTCCTATCAGAATAGCGCCTGCACCATTCTTCTTTCTGTTCAAGGTTTTCTCTGTGAAAATGTTCCATCTAAGCTTTTCTCTTCAATCACTCCTTTGCTCTGTTTTGACCTATGCGTTTGGACCACGCTGCTGGACTCTGTCCCAGACTGTCCTCACACATCTAAAACCATGCTGTTCATTTCATTTGTTTTTGTTCTTTTTCCTTTTTTCATTTAGCACAGTCTAGACGTAGAATCCCAAGCCGGCTGGCTACAGTACAGCCTCGATTATACACCTAATCAGACTTTAGCACACAGCAGGGGCGTAATGGCTTAATATCCTTTCAGTGGGCAGTGCTATAGATGGGTTACAGTGCGTCTGGGGCAGGGCCACCCCGCTAATCTCTCTTCCCTCAGATGTACCAGGCGCCAGCGGATGGGGAGATTGAGGGAATTCTGTAGCCTGCCTTAAACAGCATCATGGTGATTGCGCAGAGAAATGTTACGACCAAAAAGCTGCTGCAACCTTCCTTAAAGTCAGCAAATCAGGTGTTAGCAAGTGTATGCTTTTAAATTGAACTTTCGTTTTTAGGAAAACCAATAAAAATATTCTTCATCTGGCACTCGTGGGCATATCAACATTTTCGTCCAATCAAATGCTCTCCAGATTGAGAACGTCCTATGACTAGCAAGTACCACATTATATTTCAAGGCTGTGATGTTAACTAAAAGCTCCTGGATATTTTAAGGAAAGGGACAAGTCCTGCCCTCAGTTCCTGTTTAAACAAGAAATGCATCAACACCTTTCCCAGCTAATGCCAGTGTGACGTACCCCAACCTTTCATTTAGGCCAGAGGAGAACTGGTCCCCTGACAGAGCCTTGTTTCTCAAGGTTTTTTCTCCTCAATTTCTCTCACCTGATGGAGTTTGTGGAAAATGAAGCTGAATAAAACACTATTGTCTGCAGTTGAGGTGCTTATCGCTAATTGATTTTTTTTTTTAATTATTAATTTACACAGTTTTTGAGCTGAACTGATCCAACATTGAACTGACTGGAGCTGAATAATTGTCTTGCTACAGAATTTTGGATTTGCCTCATTTTTTGAAGTTTGCATCATTGATTCTGTTACTTTCTTTTTTAATACTGTGAAGCTGTTTGACAGTGCAGAAACTGTGCCCGTCAAACCATTAAATGGAGTCCAGGCTGGGTTTTACTGGTTAGTTCTGGATTGGTGCTGATCTAGCTAGCTGCTCACCAGCAAAATTCAGCAAATCAACTAGCATCTATGTTGTGAAAATGGTCCACAAAGGAGGTTTTGCTTGAGGATACCAGCAAACAAGCATCCAAAAGTCTTTTATTTTTTAAGAGTGATGGTGTAAAACTCATTGGAATTCTTCTTTGGCCCACCACAGTTCAATGCTCTGAGCTCAAATATGTGGTCATTACTGTCGGCACCCCTGCCGGCACCCATTTGTATGCTTGTGTCTCTGTGTGTTGCCATCCAGTTGGAACTGAAAGAAGGCACAGGTGTGGCAAACGCCGAAGGTGTTGAGATTGTGTGTGTATTATTGATTTGTGGGAATGTATGTTTGTTCCAGGCTGAACTTCAGATGCAGCTGGCATTGGAGCGGGAGGAAGAGACTCAGAGACAGACCATGTTGGAGCAGGAGAGGAGGGACAGAGAGTTGGCCATGAGGATCGCTCTGAGCGAGGCAGAACTCATCCAGGATGAAGCTCAAATGGACCCCAGCTTGCGCAGGTACGCACAAACACACACACCATAATAAAATAAAGTTGACGTCTCAAACAGCGTCACCGGGTGAAATCAAACAAAGGAAGACTCCACGCCGGGTTGTGCCCTGGTTACCATTCATAAAACGCACATAAACCACAGATATTTTTATATGGAGATTTCCATCTGAAAAGCTCCTGTATGGTCTCAAATGGCGACAGAACAACAAACAAAGAATAAGGTTCTGGCAGACAGCGTTACATAAATGCCATGAATCATTTTTACTGTGGCCAACTCGTGTGTCTACAAAAGCAGGTAAACAGAAACACGAGACGCCTGCGGTGCAGCACCGAGAGTCATATTTAATTTAGTTAATGGAAGTGGACAAAGAAGTGTCGCCTGTTCCTACTTTATGTATAATAAAATAAAAGGCTGTTCTGCTGTTATTACACATGCTAACTGGGTGCTGAGAAGACCGTGTTGTCATCCAAACCAATTTTTTTGTGCTTCCTCTCCCCTCCAGTTATGGTACCACAGGTGTTTGGTTCTTCACAGAGATGTAAGGGCTAGAACAGGCCTCTTCCCCCCCCCAATTTTCCACTTCATTCGGTCTAACCACACTCACCCACAATCACGTCCTGTCCTCCTAATCTCACCACAACCTAGATAGAGGATTACTCATAGAAAGTCACAGTAAACAATGGGCTAATTTTTAGTTTTGATATTAACCTAATTACTTCATAAAGTACTTGAATAAATTCTTTTCTTGGAGTTCTTGAATTAAATAGAGACTTAGCATGTGGTTATATTTGTAGATTTGTGTTTTCCAACAGAAATGGAGCATGAACCAATGAAATCAAGGACTTGAGTATTAAAGTCTTTTTTTTCCTACAGGTGTCAACCAAGTACATTTCTATTAAAATCATTCTTACTAGTGTTCATACTTTGAACAAACCCCCAACACTAAATATTAGGGCTGTTAAATTAATTAATCGCGATTAATCGAGTCCCAAAAAAAAGTTGTATGTGTGTGTACTGTGGATATTTATATGTATTACATACATGTATATATTTAAGAAATATATGTAATATATATTTATATATAATATAACAGAGACTCGCGTTGCGTTTTCAGTGAATTATTCATTCCAGTGTGTTTCGCTTTTAAACACGAGCTCGGTCATATTCTGTGATTGTCTCTGAAGAGCGCGAGCCAGTACAGGCTGAACGGATTGTCAACACATCCCACCGCTGTAGGGCCAGATGAGACGCAAACTACGTTTTCTCGACTGGATAACCAGTTTCGCTAGTAAAGTTTTGATGGATGAAGACTGCAATCAAGGTAAAGACGAGACGATTGCGGTGGCGTACAGGAGTCGTACAGTAATCACGCAAGAGTCCGCTATATTAATGCGTGTATGAGTGCTCTTGATGCACTGATCGCACCAAGGCCGATATATCGGCCGATATTTGGCATTTTTCAAGAGGCAATCACAGCTGCTGATATAGAGCCGGTATCGCTCTCATACTCAAGTAATATTGCGTTTATACAACAGTTTAACGGCACGAGTGTAAATATATAAGAAAAATAACAATGGAGTGTCTTTAAAAACCCTTTTGTGTTGGACTAATTCCTTCCGCCACATATTTAAATCTTAGTTTGACAGTTTAACAGCTGACACATTTATATCATTTAAACAAATCTTTGAATGACTAATGAACATTTAATTTCACAAACCTTGCCAACTTAGTTGGATCCAGTTGTGAGATCTTGTGAAGTGTGTATTTGTATCCTGCATGATTGCGTGTTCTCTGTGTATATATATGAGCAATATCACTCGAGTACGAGAGCGATACCGGCCAGAGGCACGAGGCAATCACAGCTGCTGATATAGAGCCGGTATCGCTCTCATACTCAAGTAATATTGCGTTTATACAACAGTTTAACGGCACGAGTGTAAATATATAAGAAAAATAACAATGGAGTGTCTTTAAAAACCCTTTTGTGTTGGACTAATTCCTTCCGCCACATATTTAAATCTTAGTTTGACAGTTTAACAGCTGACAGCCTAAAAAACTCTTAAAACTACATTCCGTGACACAAAAACAGTATTATTGTAAAATTTTAGTGGATTTGGGAGTCCGCTATGACACTCGCTGTGAGAAATACTGGAAGCGGAGTGATACAAAGGTGAAAGGGCGTTCCTGTGGCGATACCAGTACAATGTCTCACGGCCCTCAACCAATCAGATTTGAGAACAGAACGAACTGTTGTATATATATATATATATATATATATATATATATATATATATACACACATATATATA